TTGATAATAGCGAATGATTTTAAATTCTACTTATTGAATCTTATAATTTTCACTATGAAATTGCGATAATTTTTAAACAAAAGTGATCGTTCATCTGAAAGCAAATAGAACGAAATTATCCACGAAAAATCATAAAAACACAATTTGTTGATTTACTTTTCCTCTTAATTAACCGTTTCATTTTGTACTTTTTGAAAATTTACGAAAACCCAAAACCCATGATCTAATCAGTCAAAAAATCAGTCGTTTCGATGACCTTTTCTTGAATCGACCACTTAGAATATTTTATCTCTCCAGTTTTGACGACCTCTCGACCTGCAAGCATCGCGCGATTATGATGAGCATAATGAACAGATTCCAAATAATATCGTCTCCATTTGAGTGCATCCTCAGCAAAATTTCTAGTCCAATTTTGCCAATCGGCCCTCGTCACTTGATTCGGCTGCATCTTCATCAACTCAGTGATCATATTTTGCATCCAAACAGTCCAACTATTAGCTCTTTCCGACATTTCCACAATCCATTCTCCAAAGTTCCTCAACTCTCCAGACTCAACCATCGGAGGATTCTCATTCAAAAATATCATCTCAGAATCCGTTAGAATATTTCTGACCCATTGAGCTATTTTTCCTGATAGAACATCAAGAACATCCCTCAGATGTGCTGTCAATCTTTCCGGAGTTTCCGCTTTGACTAATCGCTCGAGCTTCTCATAGATGGCCCGATGAATCCTATCAGTGATCAGATCTTCGCCTTGATTTTCCTTTTCCTTTGCCACTGCATTTTCAATCGTATCAAAAATCCTGAGAAGATCCAAAAAGGGAACATCGGTCTGCAACATCTTCCGTAGGTTGCCTTCAAGGAAGTCTAAATCTTTTCCCTCGTTCTCTCCGCGTTTTCCTTTAAGTCCTGGTGATGGCGAGGATGAGACGTATTTCGATGGGAGGATTCCAGCCTTCAAAAGTTCTTGATCTCTCATTTGCGATGCTGATTCTTGCTTGATTGCTGGCTCGTCAGTCGCGATCTCTTCTGGAGATATTTCTTCACCTGCTACAGCAGGAGTGGATTGCAGATCCCTCGACACATCCGGATTTTCTGGAACTGCAGAAGCAGTTGATGATTCCACTACTATTTTCTTTTCTGATTCTTTCTCATCGATTTCTAGTTTTATTGCTGAAGCTTCCGCTGGTACTGCCTGTCCTTCTAAACGTTCTTCTGCCGAGCTAGATGGTTTGACTGGTGGTATCGTAGGTGGAATTTCCGATTTATCTTGCTCTTGGCTGTCTGTTGAAGGAATGCCAGCAACAGGTGCCTCTTTACTAGGTGAATCTACTGTTGCCTCACCATCTTCTGGTTTAGGATCAATTCCTGCTGCTCGTTGACTTGCTGAAGTATCAATATTATCCTCTGGAACCTGACGTGCCGAAGATTCTCTTTGTTCTATTCCATCCGTTGGAGGCTTACTATCTCTTTGCTCTTCAGCATCATGTGATAATGGTTTTGTAACATCTTGGAGTTCAACATCAGGAGAAGATTCAGAGTCTTTCCCCAGTTGGAGCTCATCTGGCGAGGATTCTTGTTGCACGTTTTCATCTGGTGAGGGTTCAGGACCATCTCCAGATGGCTCATCAGATATCGG